AGTGCCCAGAGCGGTGTGTGAGCACCCAGTAAATATTTAGGAGCAGCCCTGAGCATTCCCTGGTAACAAATCACATTCTCCTTTTCTGGAAATCAATTCAAATGAGAAAAACTGTGTTTTTAGACCATTTCTTCTTTGCACAAATAATCCCTCTCACTAATATGACACTTGTGAAGCTTGAGTTAGATGTAGCCTTGAACTTCAACTTTCCATTACAGAAGAGGAAGAGAAAAGACTGAACCCAATTGGTGTCACTCCTTCATCCATACCTACTCTTTGGATACGTGTGACCAACTTGCTATCCATTATGCCCTCCAAATTTACTCTTCGGTATTAGTTTGCTTTACTTGACCTCTACCCCTTTTCTAGTTGGGAGCCACTGGTCTCTAAAAGCAGTGGACGCTAGAACCACTTCTATTTGGAGAACAATCATTGCTGGTGATCTGACCTTCAATACCTGCTTTCTCATGAGGTTACCTAATTTCACAGAAAACTAGTACTTACACCTGCAACGGTGTGGCTTTCCCACCCCCACTTATTATCTCTCAAGACTCCTTAAAGAAGGAGATTAGCAATTTTTCATTCGGGAGAGGAAATTAAATGCTTCTAATGTTTGTCATCTATGAGAGGGTTTAAAGATGATGTGTTAGCTTTCGGGAAGTGTTGGCCATTACTTTAAGTGGAATTGAAATTCTAATTTATTATTTTCCAAAATACAATCTCAGTGATAATGGGAGAATGTTCCATAGATTTTTAGCTTTGAGGACACTTTTCTACCAAAATTCATGGGACCCTGGACTACCCCAGATCCTGGCAGGATGTTCCCATCCATAAAGGCACTATCACTCTCAGGGGCCAGCCGGCAGTAAAGAAGCAGTCTTGTCGGCTGTGACCTTTGTTCGCTATTTCATAAGGACTGCAGGAGGAAGGTGCCCAGTTCTCAGACAGCTGCCAGAGAGAGAGTCATGAGTGTGCCGTGTCTAGCACATTACCAACGTGTGGTAATTGACTGATAATTTATGGTGTGACAGCCTTATAACTCAGCAGTCCTATTCAGTCAGAAATTAACTCAGTAATCAAAGTCATTAAAAAGAAGAAGAAATACTACAGTAGCAGCCAGATGGTGGGGAAATCTAACACATGAAGGAAAAATGGCTGGTCTTTGAGTTAAGCACTGGGCAGCAAAACCTGGGTCCTCTGCCTGGTTCCATTCCAAATTCTGGCTTGAGTGAGGCTTCAGGCTCTGCTAAGTCGAGTGTGCTCTAACCTCTCTGTGCGCGGGGGCAGTGCTGGTCGGATGGACCGATATGTAGGGTATCTGGCCAATGGCCCTGGCTGAGTTTGAGCTTTTAGTGCACATGGAAAACTGAGAAAAGGAAGAGGGAAGCATGCAGACCTGCTCTTAACATTTGTAAGGCCTTGGGCAAAAGTATGAATGAAAGCTCACATGCCCTGTGTTTAATCATTTAAAAGTTAAAAGCTAATAAACTATTCACTGAGACATGTTCTAGCCTCTTGCCTTAACAAACATCTCTCCATAGGATCTGGAAGGCCAGATTCAAATTTAGAATTCTTGAGCCCTGGGAATTCTCCACTTGAACGTAGTGATGGGAGGAGGGCCGGCCCCTGCCTGTCCTCTTTCCTTCCCACCTCTGGTTCCATTTACATCATAAAGGGCCTCCAGCATATGCATCTGAACACTCCCCTGCATATCTGCCCTCTGACCATGCCCCCAAACAGCTGTGCCTTGGACACCTTCAGGCATCAGACTGTGTGCCAGGCACACAGTCTGCCCTTCAGAGGACCGACCCGGGGAAGATGCCCATGTAGCCTTGGAAAGCGCTCGGGCTGTATGGGGCAGGAATTCCCTGGTAGCAGCAGTATATCTAGAATGTGAGTTGGGGACTCTAGATGGGCCTGTCCCATAGACTTCAAGGATTCCTTTTTCCATGCAGGGGTGCCCTCCAGAAGAGAGAGAGACAGACAGAGAGCAGGACCCTTTGAGTGGAGTACCCTAAGCAGGAGGCCCCCTGCTGGAACCTGAGAGCTACACTAGAAATGTGCTAAGCCCTGTTCTCACCATCATTCACATCCCTTACAAACCCCCGGCCATGTTCCTGGCAGGCCACCAAAGGAAGCACTGCATAGGTACCTTTCGGTCCATAAGTCATAAATATTTATCCTTGGTCTTACGTCTCTTTTGGAGCCATCAGCAGAGAACAGCAAAAATATCCTGAACTCACACTGAGTTGTTTCCCTTCACTTCTCTGAGCAGTGCTGGCAGAGACTCGGGCTATGACCTGTCTCAGAAATGGCCAAGCCTAGAATCCAGAGCAGAATTTTGGACCATCCTTTCAACTACTGGACCATGTGTTCTGATTTGAGAGTTTGTGATCTTAAAGTATTAGCTACGGCAAAAGGCTGTGAGTTTAAGACACCCCAAGCAACTTTTGCTTTAGGAATTTGAAATGCAGTCTCACTAGGACGCTGTCTCCTTAACAAAGTAGTACCTTTAAAATATTTAACAACTTGAAAAGGAAACCAAGCTTGAATTTTCCTTTCAAGCACTAAGGAAATAGTGTTTCTCTTCTGCCTGAAATTTACCATCCCAGACAAAGAAGGCTCTTGTGGTAAAAGCAATGGTATTTTCTCCACCATTTTCAAATAAGAAGATAAAGAGAAAACAACATTGCAGCCTTTTTGTTGGATCTAACAATAAAGGAATAATACAGTTTTGCTAGCAGAAAGCTTTGGTGTTAAGCTCAGAATACAAAAATAGACTGACAAATCTTACAAAGGAATATTCTCAACTTCCACTCTGAGGCTAGTGAGAAGTGAAATTTCAAGAAAATTGTATCATTTGATTATTTGGGGGGGAGGTGGGTATTACAAGGATGATCAAGCTGATGGGGCCAATCTTGGATGAAATTATAGTAAAGAAATGTGATTTCCCCTTTCCTGCTCACCCCCATCCCCCACCCCGCATGATCCAGGCTGTTCCTCTACCCCAACCCAAACCTGGCTTCTGGAAAGGGAATGGGTCAGCAGGGGTGTCGCTTACGTTGCAGCTCCCACATCTGGAACACCTTCCCTCCACACTGTCCCGCTTCCCTTTGCTTGGCAAACTTTTCCTATGGCTACGTCTGAAACCTTCTGTGATGTTGCCCACCCTCTCAGTGACAGCCCTAGCCTGTAGCTCCCCGACCCTTACACTCACTGCTGCTGGTTTAACCATTGTTTTATCTGTGTTCCCTGCCTGATTTTACACTCTGTTAGAGCAGAAACCATATGCATTTTCTTTAATGTTTAATTCTCCATCACTGTTCCCATGCTTGGCATGTCATAAATCTAGCTGAAAAAATGAATGAGCGAATAAATCAATAGGAACTTAAGCCACTGTGTTGCTGCTCTCGGGGTGTTTGAATGAACTATAATTAAAGAACCAAAAGCACTTACCCCTCCCACGGAGCCACAAATGCAATGGGGGAGTATTTGGAGGCCCAAGGCACCGATACATCCTTTTGAGTTGCCTACCTGATGTAGTCTGGATTTTTTCAGTGTGTGGTGGGGTAAGGAATTATGGTAAAAACTTTTGAGATGAAAGTAATACATAAAAAACAAAGGAATAGCTGCCAATCGGTAAGCATTTATGCATGTCAATTCTAATGCCAAATGCTAATCATGTATTGTCTCTGTTATACGCATTTTATAGATAAGGAAATTGAGATTTGGTGATTTAAACTGCTTAACTTCACAGGTTATGAACATAAATTGGTTTGATCTAAGTCAGAAAACGATCCAGCAAGTCTCCTACTAACTGGCACCCTCTTGTGATGGCCTGGAATACACATTCCTCTGTGCTCCTGAACCCGCCCCCTCCCCTCCCTTCCCTGCCCCAGCCATCTGCTTCTGCCACCTTGCCACCCACCCACCTGGGGGTCCCCCGTGCTCCATCCTCAGGAGGAGAGATCCTATCAGAGTGTGCAGGCACCAGTGGGTATGGATGCCCCAACCTGCCAAGGTCTCACCCAGGTGGCAGGTGCACCAGTCAGGATTAGATTAGACTACCAGTCAGTGATAGGTGAGAGAAAAATGAAAACAGTGGATTCAACAAAACAAATGTTTATTTTTCTCTCACATAAAAACCTAGAGGCAGAAGTCCAGGGTTAATCTAGTGGCCCCAGGCCTCTGGGACCCAGATTCCTCCTGTCCTGTTTGGCCACAGTGCGAGGATTCCAGTTCTGAAACCACCTGGTCCAAAACGGGCGCTGGGGCTCCAGCCAGTGCTTCCCTAATCAGTTACAGGAAGGAGGAAGGCCCTAAAACATGCAACCTCAAGGGGACTTTGCTGCCTTTACATCCCAGCCACTCCCAGCCAAACAATGTAGTCTTTACTCAAGGCTCTATGCCCAGGTAGAAACCCTGAGCTCCGTTACAAGCAAGGAGAACAGATATTCTCTGCCTCAACATCTTACCCATGGCTCCTTTGGCTCAGGGACTCCTCTGGGCAGCTGTAGCCAGATGGGAGCTGGAGGAGTCGTGTGACCCTCTGAAGGAAGCCCTAGCACCTTCCATGGGTGGCTGTGTGGCTGGCATTTATCCTTCATGACCTATGAAGTATTTTGAGAAATTTGTTCAGAGAAATGTTGCTCTCTTGAAGCTACATCATAGCAGTGGCTGCCTTGCAGCCTGATGTCACCATTGTGTTTTTAAGGTGCCCAGCAACTCAGCCTCCTCACCATGTAGAGAAACATTTCCGGCCTTTGTAAGATCAGGGACCCCCAGGGGTCATCCCACTCAGAGACATCACCCAGGTACCACCCCGCATTGGGTGGGGAATCGGCTCATGGCTGCTAATTTGAAATGACATACTTGGGCAGAAAAATGTGAATGAGGGTAATGGTGAAAGGCTCTCTTTTCTTTGCAAGCCCACCCCCTTCCCTGTTCCTTACAGTCAGGAAGTACATGTCCCAACGTGTCGTTTGTTCCTTCTGTTGCAGGCTCCTGTGGCTGTCTTGTCATGATTCTGTTCGCCTCTGAAGTGAAGATTCACCACCTCTCAGAAAAAATTGCAAATTATAAAGAAGGGACTTATGCCTACAGAACACAAACTGAAAAATACACCACCTCATTCTGGGTCGTGTTCATTTGCTTTTTTGTTCATTTTTTGAATGGGCTCCTCATACGACTTGCTGGATTTCAGTTCCCTTTTGTAAAATCGAAAGACACAGAGACGACGAATGTAGCTGCGGATCTAATGTACTGAAAGGCAGACGTTTCTGCGGTTTTCCAAGGCAGTGAGTGGACTTGCTTTGGTCACTTGGATATGGTTCATTTTAAATGCCCTAATTAAAACACCCAAACCCCCGGTGATCATGTTTACACACTATGTACTAAGGACACAGGCTGGAAAGTAAAGGGAGCAGAAGGAAGGCTTTGGAAGGCTGTGCTGCCTGGTGGGAAATGGCTTCACCAGGGGTTGTCAAGGCAGTCGACTGGAATGGACAGATTCTTGCTCCATACACACAGCAACGTGCACAATGACTTTCCATCCCGGAGGAATCAGAAGGCACGGGGAATATATTTTAATACAAACAAATACTATTTCTGATCTACCCACACATTTGTTGCTACAGACACCGGAAAAGAGAGCTACAATAACTTTTTTTAAATGGTAGTGCATTAAGTGAGCTTTTTTTTTAAAAAAAGTTTATTTAAAGCACAGTCTTACTATCTATTCCTGTTAATTATAATTTACAAACCTCTAAAAGTAAAAATAAGAAAAGCAAAGCTAAGGGTATTTTCTCTACTGTGCCTATGACCCCACTGCATTCACACAGTGCATACAAAGGAGAGAACTGTGAGGCCCACTGAAGAATCATGAAAAATGAGTTTTCCTAGTGAATTTGATACAAAATGACACATTGGGGCTGCTGCTTCCTACTTCAGCATCTTGAGCACTAATTCCCAATTATGAAAATTATATTACACTCTGGGATTATGATGGTAATGCTTTGTCCTCTTGGCTTCTGGTCTGGTGGTGGCAAAGCATGACCCAGGTCAATTCCCCGCCCCCCAAATTAGCCATGAAATTGATCTGTGGCTGACCAACTGAGCGTGAAACCAACCCTCCCTCTCTCCTCAACCTCCTGGCCTCAAAAAAGCACACAGGAAGAAGCGGAGAATGACAGAACACATCACCAGCCCCCTCACCATTGTTGCTCAATACTCACTGCTCATTCCAGAATTTTGAAAGTGCTTGTTTAAAAAAAAAAAAAAAGAAAAAAACTTTTTTCCCTTTGGAAAACTTGACAAGAACTGAAGACTGTTTGCATGCCTAGGAAATAACTTGCACTGGTTGTGATCAGCCCACAGGCTGACTTGACACCACATCCTCAATTTCCAGACGCTAGTCCCTCTTCCTTCATTCAGGAAACACACTTGGAGAATTTCTAGAAGACCACAAGTCAGTCTAGTGATAAGGTGACGTTTGGTTCAGTAGGGAGCTAGAGCCTAAAAGAAGTCTTCAGGCAAAATGGTTAAATACAGAGAGCTGATAAGCTAGGAGTGGGCAGGAAAGTAAGGACACCACCCTGTGGGTAACTGGCCTGAGATCCCTAAGGCCAAATTCCCCACAATTGCATTTAACACCTCTCTCTCTCTCTCTCTCTTTCTCAGAGGCTTAAAAACTTCTAACACCAAAGTTTCTTCTTTAGAAAACAAGTCTCTGTTTGTTTTCTGTAAAAAGGGAAAACTTGGAGCAGCAGCTGAAAATCCAATGAGACCCTACTAGGCAGACTAACAATGTTCCTTCCGTGGGAAGTAGAGATTGGGCAGCTGGTTTCTACAAACTGTGCTGCAGACAAAAATAAAACGAGATACAATCTGGCTCTCAGAGAAGTGCACGTAAGTTGTCTCCCTGTCTTTCCTCAGATGAATTGTGTGGTCATTGGTGGCCTACGGGTAGCCCTTAGAAGAGGGATCTGGCCAGGATCAAAGGCTGGGGAAGTACATTCACTGTGCTGCATGGCTCCCACCCAGGTGGCAGTCAGCATTCCCACATCCTCAGAGGAACGCAGGGCCCCCTGCTGGCTCTGGGGCCACAAACACTAAGGACACATTTGGGAGCTCAGTTCAGGTGGTTGGCAGACACCCTCAGCATCAAGAATATCAGCGTTTACTATGTAGTGGGAAAGAATGGCAAGAAGCTATGAAAGCCAGCTGAAGTCCTCTTGTGTGGACTCTACAATGAACTTGGCAAGACAAAGTCACTGGACTCGGAGGAAGCTCCTAAACTAAACTACGCAGACAGGACAGGCTACAATGAGAAAGAGGAGGGCACTTTACAGATGACAAAGGTCTTTCACTCTGGTGGTCCCATCTACTTCTCCAAAACAGCCTCAAGTCAGTTTATAAGCTTTCAATGAGGGATGTGGATGAGTTTGCCTGGGCTCACACGTTACGCAACCCTAGGGCACATCCTTTTTCCTCCCTTTGCACAGTTTCAGGGGGAGCCACAGTGGGTGGAGGGAGGAGTGGTTCACACTGGCCACGTTAGGGTGCACCAGCTCCCAGCCTGCTGATAGAAGGCTTGTTGGTCCCAACCATTTACCTATCAACACCTGAACAAGAATCAAGGGGGTTACTGGAGGTGGTGTGGACAGCAGAAGAATTACCCCCTCTCTCAATTGTCCTCAATTTCTCCCTTTCCAGTAAGATCCAGTATAGGTAAAAATAGTGTGGTTTTATAAAAATGCTGCTCCAAGACCAGTCCCAGGCCACCTGCCCTGGTTTCCTAACTGCCTGCTGACCCTGATCGCCTCTCCTCAGATACTTGGAGTTTGTGCTATTGGGGCGCTCAGCATTTGATCACCCTGGCAGTTAATCATGACTCAGGGCAGATAAGCCCCCTCCTCCAAATGATAAGGGGCAGAGCCAGGCTGATGGGCAGAAAGAAAGACTGGGCAGGTCTGGGGTCCTGGATTCTGGGATGAAATTCCCCTTCAGGGAAAAGCCTTCTTGTTCATCAAAATGCTAATGTAAACTCAATAAACTTAGATTTATAGAATTTGTGATCCCACTGCCCCCACCCACTTGTGTAACCGGACATACCTGCAGTGTCACAATACAGAGATCATTGAACTGTTTCTAAAGTCCAGGGAAGCCTAAGGCTGAGTGGATGACTCAAGTCAGAAACCTCCAGAGAATGTCCCTTGCAGGGCCTAAAGGACACTATCAGACAGTATCCCACAGTATCAGACCTGAGGGTGGGGTGGGAGGGAAGAACAGGTATGGTGCTATGTGAGCCACCTGATAATTAAAGGCAAGTGTCTTAAAGGATTGTGTTGCTTTGCTAGAACCCTGGTCTGAAGGATTTTGACCCACTCTGAGAGTGGACAGAACGAGCAGCAAGGCAATTGTCCCCTCACTAGGCCAAAGTCCAGTACTGCCGCTGTGGGTCATGGCTCTAATTCTGGAGGGAAGAGAGACTAGGACAAGAGAGAAAGCCTCTGTTCCCTGCTCCTCCAGTCTGGTTGGTAAGGGGCACATGGAGTGGGTGGTCTGGGAACCTCAAGCAATTCAAACCCATGCGCTCCCAGAAATGTGTGATCTCAGTGCAAGGGAGCTGCTCACCTGTCCTAGGGTTTCCTCATCTCCTATTTGCCATGTCCTTAAACTGGGCAAGAAAGTGTATGTGTCTGACTCAGAGGTATGCATTCCAGATGCCCCAGCTCACAAATTTGCACTTCAATTGCTATCCTTCCATTTAACCAAGTACAATAAAGAGTGTGTCCCAGCTTAGGTAAGGACAGTGTCTGCTGGACATCTCAGGCCAGAGACCCCAATAGAAGCTGATGTATTCCCTCTCATTTGCTGCCATTTCAATGCTCCCTTCACACTCCTTTGCTGTCACCCTTTCCTCACTGACTGTCTGTGGTAGACAGTACTGTGTGTTCCCTATCTCATTCTCCTTAGGTACACAGCTACACTACATTTCTCAGCCTCCTTTGCAGATGGGTCTGTGTGGGTGAGTCCAGACTAGTGGGATGTAGGCTGAAGTGACTCATGCTACTTTCAAGTGCGGCCCTAAAGAATACCCCATGCCACCCTTCAGTTTTGTCTCCCCCTGGTATTGCAGCCAGGGAGTCTGTGGGACCCCGAGGGCAAGGCTACAAAACAGAAACAGGCTTTATGACCTGCACTGGAGTGTGACATGAGTGATAAAGCAACTTTCTGTAAAACCACTAAGTTTGGATGGTTATTTGTCACTGAATCTTAGCCTGCCATAGCCTAGCCAATAGGTCCTCTTCTCCAGGGTAGCTCCCCTGTTTCATGCCAGTGAGACACTCTTCTAGGTCTCTCAGGGTGTAGCCCGAGGCCAGTGCACCCTCCACCACCAACGCTGAGCTGCTGTCTGCACCACTGTCCTTGAAGCTGTGGCCTTCTGGTCACATGGCCCATCACCTGCTGAAATGAAGACCAGAGAGAGAATTTTCTGCAAAATCTCTAAAGAGTAAATAAACACCTTTGCTTATCCTTCACGGTTCCTTCCAAATAGCAATGAATAAGCCCTTCTTCATTCATTCAAAAAGATTTTATCTTGCATCTGATCTGCAATGGATCTAGCTGTATGTAAGGCACAAAAGATTTTGGAGAGGAAATGGGAAAAGAGAGTAAAAGATTTTTTTCTACTTGATCTTTGGTTAGGAGTGAAGACTTTCTTTCAAGACATTCCCTTTGTTTTTCTCTTTTTAAAGTTCAGTTTATTATCAAAAGCAGAGTTTTTAAGTTTCCCAGTAAAAAAGAACAAACTAATCAGATGAGGTTCCTTTACTACATAAATTACCCAAAAAATCAACAATTAGAGTCTCAATTTCCACAAAATGCTATAAGAACTATGTCCTTAATTAAATAATGCCAAGTAAAGTTTTGCAATGTGTCTGAAAGAGCTAGTAGAGAGGCTTCCGTCACTGTCAGAGTTTGGAGGTGTCACCTGAGAGGTGCTTGGTCAAGAAGCCATTCTCCCTTCCATACCCTACTTTCCTCACGTCCTCCCTCCTGAGGGGACTTTCCACAGTTCCAGGTCAGAGGAGGCCTGAGCAAGTCCTGGGGCAGCACAGGGAATGTAGTTAATAATATCTTTTTTTTATTTTATTTATTTATTTTTAGAGAGGGAAGGAAGAGAGAAAGAGAAAGAGAGAGAAACATCAATGTGTGGTTGCTGGGGGTCATGGCCTGCAACCCAGGCATGCACCCTGACTGGGAATCGAACCTGCGACACTTTGGTTCGCAGCCCGCACTCAATCCACTGAGCTACAATAATATCTTAATAACTTTGTGTGGTGATAGATGGTGACTAGACTCACTGTGCTGATCACATTGTAAGGTATATACATGTCGAGTCACTGTTTCATACACCTGAAACTAATACAATATTGTATGTCAGTTGTACTTTAATTTTAAAAAAGGTCTTGGAACTCAAAGCAGTATCCCTCCTGCAGGTTGGTTGACCGGCAACCTACTTCCTGCTGTCAGCTTGGGCTTCATGAGATGGCAGTGAGGACACCTGAACACCGGTTCTTTTTCTCCGATGTGTTCTAGGGCTGAAAAAAATCAGGACTTGCCCCAGCAGAGATCCTAGGCTTCATTCAGGAGTACCTCTCTGCCCCT